CAGCTCCACTGGCTGCCAATAAGTTTCAGGGCCCAATTCAAAGTGCAGGTTATTACCTATAAAGCCCTAAACAGTTCGGGTCCTGCTTATCTTTGAGACCATATTTCCCTTTATGAACCAGCGCAAGTGTGAAGGTCTGCTGGGGAGGCCCTCTCGCTCCCACCTCTGTCACAAGTGTAGCTGGTGGGGACAAGAGAAAAGGCCTTCTTGGTGGTGGCTCCCTGGCTCTGAAACTCTTTCCTCAGGGAGATTAGATTAGCCCCCACCTTGTCCACTTTCCAGAAAGATCTGAAGACTTGGATGTTCCAATGTGCCTTTGAATAATAGTTAGCTACTGATCAAGTCTGGCAGCCCTAATATTTTGTTTGGATCTTCAGCACTTTATTCCCAGCCCGACCCTATAGTTTTATGTTTGCACTAGTGCTTGTCCTGCCCAACTAGTTCTCAAATCTGCACATGCCCACTTTTCGACTTTTGGTTGTTTCTTGTGTGGTTCATGTTTATGATGTGTTATATTTTATTGGTTTGGCTGTTTTTAATATAGTTGATTGTTATATGTTTTTACTTGTACTACTCTGTAACCTTTGTTTATATTGGACTTGGTCCCCATGTAAGCTGCCCCTATTCCCTTTGGGGAGATGGAGGAGGGATATAATAATAAAGTTGTTGTTGTTGTTGTTATAGTTTGAATACTAAATAATTTTATAATGCTGAAGTTAGGAATGATAAGAGAAAATAAGAATACCATAATCAGAATATACCATAATCAATTCTGCAATTGTTGGTTATTTGTTACTATGCTAATCCATGGTTGATCTTTAAATTATTACTTTCCAATGCCTCTGCCATATTAAAGCATGTTTGCTGACATGGTAAAAGAGTCTGTCCTGCTGTTTTGTGTCATATATAGAAATATATATAGAAAGAAAGATGGATTTCAAGAGCACAATAACTTATTTCAGTGAACCTGCCATGTCTGATTTGCTTCAAAAATGCTTAATGCCAGCATTAATTGCTTCTGCTTATTATGGTTAAGTATTTTGAAGATGCTATTGCTCTATCCTTTATGATATTGCTAATAGTCTTATATATCTGTGTAATTATATTACAGAAAAATGAACCATAAGCCGATAATTATACATGCAAATTATTGCTAATTTCCTCTTCTTCTCCACTAGTCACAACCCTGAGAGAGTCCTAGCCTTCAAAGAATTAATCACGTGGGGAGTCGTTTTTAAATAATTGTATTGCATTTTATTGCATTATTTCACACTGTGCATGTTTGTATGTATATATTTAGAATGTATGCCTTTAGCAGGATAATTTGCTTTGTGATTGTATAGTAGTTTTGTATTTGATTATTCCTTCCTTCAGTGTGTTTGTGTATATGTGTGTGTATGCATATATATAGATAGTATGCCTTTGGCAGGATAATGCTTTGCAATTGTATAATATAACTTTGTTCGTTTATTATTTCTTCCTTATTTGTCTGTGTGTTGTCTGTATGTATATATTTAGATAGTATACCTTTGGCAGCCTAAATTATTCTGTAATTGTGTAATATAGCTTTATATTTTATTACTCTTTCCCTCTGTGTGTGGGTTTGCGAATATATGTATATGTGCTTGCGTTTAGATACTATGCCTTTGGCAGGATGATGTTTTGCAATTGTATAATGTTGCTGTATATTTTATTATTGCTTGCTTCCCTCTGTGTGCGCGTGTGTATGTATGTACCGGTATATATTTAGATAATATATCTCTGGCAGGATAATGTGTTTTGGAATTGTATAGCCAAGCTTAATATTTTATGATTCCTTCGTTCCCTATGTGTGTGTGTTATATATGCATATCTGTGTGGAAGGGAGTTGTGTGCATGTCTCCATATATTTAGATAGTATGCCTTTGGCAAGATGTTTTGCAATTGTATAATATAGCTTTGTTTTTTTATTGTTCCTTGTTTCCTTCTATGTAAGTTGTGTATATAAATGTGCATGTGTATGTATTTTGATAGTAGTTTTTGCAGAATCCATAGTTTTTAGGTGTTTTACTTGGAAGTGTCATACACATTGATGCCATGATATAAATCACCACCAGGAAAAGCGGTTTGTGGCCCCTTCTACAATGCCATATAAAATCCAGATTATCTGCTTTGAACTGGATTATATGAGTGTAGATTCATATAGTCCAGATCAAAGCAGATAAAGTAGATTATTTGCTTATATAACCTGGATGATATGGCAGTGTAGAGGGGTCTCAAAGGCTGGCGGCAGTTCCCCACGCTTCCCTTCCCCAACTCCCCCTCCCTGCAGTGGCCTTCTTTTGACCTTTCAGTGTCCTTGCAGCCGCCCCCCCCCCCAGTAAGCGTGTGGGTCAAATGATACCCCAGGAGCTCAGCCGCAGGCCTTTGACTTCCTGTCAGCAGAAACTTGTAGGGTTTTGATTTCCTTCCATTGGTTTGCCTTGGGGAGAGAGATAGAGACTGAGAGAGTATGCTGTGTGTATCTATACATATCTGTCTATATGTGTGTGTGTGCCTGTGTATATGTATCTACTATGGGGGGGGGGGATAGGGAGATGCCTTCAGAGGTCCCTTCTACAATGCCATATAAAATCCAGATTATCTGATTTCAACTGGATTATATGGCATTGTGGACTCATATAATCCAGTTCAAAACAGATAATGTGGCTTCTCTGCTTTGATAACCTGGATTATATGGCAGCGTAGGAGCCTGAAACAAATATATATATAAAAAAACAAACAGTGGCTCCCCAAGGCAAGCAAATGAAGGGAAATAAAGCCGGTATATAGATACACACACACAGAGTGTGAGAGAGAAATGTTACATACACCCTCTGAGACAAGTGTGTGTGTGTGTGTATCTATATATCTATCTATCTCACTTAAACACACATATAGATTGATAAATACACACACACATAATACATATATGTTTCAAAGGGTGTCTTGTTCTGTGTGTATGTGTACATACGTATGTGTGTATTGATCACTGTTTGTTTGTGTATGCTGTGCTTCCTCTCTCGCTCCTCTCTGGCCCCCCAAGGCAAGCAAATGGAGGGAAATAAAGCTAGTGTGTGAGATATATATATACATATATACATACACACACATATACATGCAAACATACAGAGGGAGGAAGAAGCAATACAATACAAAGTTATACTATACAATTGCAAAAACATCCTGCCAAAGGCATATTATCAAATTCTAAATATAGACCTAAGCTCTCTGATACAGACATGGGCACACACATACATATGCAAAACATTATCCTGCCAAAGGCATACTAAATGTATGGCTGCACGCACCCTCTATACATATAGAGGGTGTGTGTGTGTGTGTGTGTGTGTGTGTATATATATATATATATATATATATATATATATATATATATATTCCCCTGGGGAGCAACCATACATGCAGCCATACATTTAGTATGCCTTTGGCAGGTTGATGTTTTGCATATGTATGCACGTGTGCCTGTGTGTGTGATATATGCAATATATATGTGATATAGATAGATGTGTTTGTCTGAGAGAATCCTGAGGGTGCCTCAGAGGGTGCCATGCTCAGTGTGTGTGTGTGTGTATTCCCCGGGGAGCATCCATACATGCAGCCCTACATTTAGTATGCCTTTGGCAGGATAATGTTTTGAATATATATGTCTGTGTGTCAGTGTGTGTGATATATGCAATATATATGTAATATAGATAGATAGATAGATAGATAGATGTGTGTATGCGTGAGAGAGAATACATATCTGCCTTATATCTGCCTCAGAGGGTGCCTCGCTCAGTGTGTGTACATGCTATCTATCACTGTGTGTATATATATCTCAAGGTAGGCACACACAGATATGCACACACACATATATATAGGGTATGTGTGTATTCCCCTGGGAAGCATCCATACATGCAGCCCTACATTTAGTATGCCTTTGGCAGGAAAATGTTTTGCATATGTATGTGTATGTGCCTATGTGAGTGATATATGTGATATATAGAAGTGTGTGTGAGAGAGAATCCATATCTGCCTCCTATCTGCCTTAGAGGGTGCCTCGCTCAGTGTTTGTGTGTATATATATAACTACCTAAAGCAGTGTGTGTATATGCCTCATTGTAGACACACACTGATATGCACATGTGCACTCTCTCTATAGGGTGTGTGTGTGTATTCCCCTGGGGAGCATTCATACATGCAGCCATACATTTAGTATACCTTTGGCAGGATAATGTTTTGCATATGTATGTGTGTGCGTGCGTATGTGTGTGATATATGCGATTTATATGTGATATAGATAGATGTGTGTCAGAGAATCCATATCTGCCTCAGAGGGTGCCACGCTCAGTGTGTGTGTGTGTGTGTGTGTGTGTATATATATATATATCTCACTGTGGGTATATGTCTCAGTGTAGGAGCACACAGATATGCACATACGCTCTCTCTCTATAGTGTGTGTGTGTGTGTGTGTATATATATATATATATACACACACACACACACACACCCCTGGGGAGCATCCATACACGCAGCCCTACATTTAGTGTGCCTTTGGTAGGATAATGTTTTGCATATGTATGTGCCTATGTGAGTGATATATGTGATATATGATATAGATGTGTGTGTGAGAGAGAATCCATATCTGCCTCAGAGGGTGCCTCGCTCCGTGTGTGTATAACTATCTAAAGCTGTGTGTGCATATGCCTCAATGTAGACACACACAGACATGCACATACACTGCTATACGTGTGTGTATGCATACCCAGAGAGAGAAACATAAGACACAGTGAGGCGACATATTGGGAGCGAAAGAGGGCGTTGCAGCGGCGAAGAAGGCGGCAGCAATGGAGGGAGGGCGTCGCTGCTGCTGCTGCTGCCACTGAGGAGGCGACGGCGCCAACTCCCCCTCCTCTTCCTCTTCCTCCTCCCGAGGCTGCCCAGGAGTGTGTTGTTGTGGAGGAGGAGGAGGAGGATGAAGCCTGGGGCGCCCCAAACCCCGTGCTCGTTGCTGGCAGGGCGGGCGCGAGGCTGTGGCGGGGCCTGCTGAGGGCGAGGTGTGCCATGACTGGGTCACTGGAGGAGGAGGAGGAAGCGCCTCCTGCTCGGCGGGCGCTGCTGCTGCTGCTGCTGCTGCTGACACTACTCCGCATTGCTCCGAGGGAGGAGGAGGAGGAGCCGAGGGCGGAGGAAAGGTGAGCAGCAGCAGCAGGAGAGGCAAGAGCCGTCTCCCCCGCCGCGCCTGCCTGCCTGTGTCCTCCTCCTCCTCCTCCTGCTCCTGCTCCTCCGCAGCCATGCTGCCCGGGGTGGGTGTGTTCGGGACGGGCCTGACGGCGCGGGTGATCGTGCCCCTGCTGAAGGAGGAGGGCTTCGCGGTGAAGGCGCTCTGGGGCCGGACGCCCGAGGAGGCCGAGGAGCTGGCGCGAGAGATGAGCGTGCCCTTCTTCACCAGCCGCATCGACGAGGTCCTGCTCCACCACGACGTCGACCTCGTCTGCATCAACCTCCCGCCGCCCCTCACCCGACAGGTCGCCCTCAAGACCCTCGGTGAGAGAGGCACAGCCATGGGATGGGGGCGGGGGGGGGGCGCTCTGTACATGCTCAGGGGCACCGTTTGAACAGGATGGGTTGGTCACAATGGGTGGAATCCATGTGGATGCTCTGTACATGCTCAGAGGCATCGTATGAATGGGATGCATCGCTTGCACTGGGTGGAATCCATGGGAGTCACTCTGTACATGCTCAGAGGCGCCATTTGAAAGGGATGCATTGGTCACAATGGGTGCAATCCATGGAGGACGCTCTGTACATGCTCAGAAGAGCCATTTGAACGGGATGCATCGCTCAAACTGGGTGGAATCCATGGGGACGCTCTGTTCATGTTCAGAGGCACCGTTTGAACAGGATGCATTGGTCACAATGGGTGGAATCCATGGGGGATGCTCCATACATGTTCAGAGGCATTGTTTGAATGGGATGCATAGCCCCCAGTGGCTCAGTGGGTTAAACCCCTGTGCCAGCAGGACTGAAGACCGACAGGTCGCAGGTTCGAATCTGGGGAGAGGCGGGTGAGCTCCCTCTATCAGCTCCAGCTCCTCATGCGGGGACATGAGAGAAGCCTCCCACAAGGATGATAAAAAATCAAAATCATCCGGGCGTCCCCTGGACAACGTCCTTGCAGACGGCCAATTCTCTCACACCAGAAGCGACTTGCAGTTTCTCCTGACACGACAAAAAAATAAAATAGCTCAAATTGGGTGGAATCCATGGGGATGCTCTGTACATGCTCAGAGGCACCGTTTGAACAGGATGCATTGGTCACAATAGGTGGAATCCATGGGGATGCTCTGTACATGCTCAGGGGCACACTTTCATAGCACACCTTGATCGCAACAGGTCCAGCCCATGGGGGGAGGGACTCTGTACATGCTCAGAGACACCATTTGAATGGGACACGTTGGTCATAACGGGTGGAATCCATGGGGGATGCTCTGTATATGCTCAGAGGCATGATATGAATGGGATGCATCGCTTGTACTGGGTGGAATCCATGGGGGATGCTCTGTACATGCTCAGAGGCACCGTTTGGACTGGATGCATTGGTCACAGTGGGTGGAATCCATGGTGGATGCTCTGCACACGCTCATGGCACACTTTCATAGCATGCCTCAATCACAACGGTTTCAGCCCATGGGGGGACTCTAGACATGCTCAGAGGAATCATTTGAATGGGACACATTGGTCATAATGGGTGGAATCCATGGGGGATGCTCTGTACATGCTCAGAGGCATGATATGAATGGGATGCATCACTCACACTGGGTGGAATCCATAGAGGATGCTCTGTACATGCTCACAGGCACCATATGAATGGGATGCATTGGTCACAATGAGTGGAATCCATGGGGGATGCTCTGTATATGCTCAGAGGCATGATATGAATGGGATGCATTGCTTGCACTGGGTGGAATCCATGGGGGATGCTCTGTATATACTCAGAGGCACCATTTGAATTGGATGCATTGGTCACAATGAGTGGAATCCATGGGGGATGCTCTGCACACGCTCATGGGCACACTTTCATAGCATGCCTCAATCAGAACGGATTCAGCCCATATGGGGACTCTAGACATGTTCAGAGACACCATTTGAATGGGACGCGTTGGTCATAATGGGTGGAATCCATGGGGGATGCTCTGTACATGCTCAGAGGCATTATATGAATGGGATGCATCACTTGCACTGAGGGAATCCATAGAGGATGCTCAGTACATGCTCACAGGCACCATATGAATGGGATGCATTGGTCACAATGAGTGGAATTCATGGGGATGCTCTGTACATGCTCAGAGGCACACTTTCATAGCATTTTTTTCGTGTCAGGAGTGACTTGAGAAACTGCAAGTCGCATCTGGTGTGAGAGGATTGGCCATCTGCAAGGACGTTGCCCAGGGGATGCCTGGATGTTTGATGTATTACCATCCTTGTGGGAAGCTTTTCTCATGTCCCCGCATGGGGAGTCGGAGCTGACAGAGGAAGCTCATCTGTTTAACCCATTGCGCCACCAGGGGTTCCATAGCATTTCTCAATCACAAGGGGTTCAGCCCATGGAGGATGCTCTGCACATGCTCAGAGGCATCATTTGAATGGGATGTGTTGGCCAAAATGGGTGGAATCCATAGGGGATGCTCTCAACATGCTCAGAGGCACTGTTTGAGTGGGATGCATCACTCGCACTGGGTGGAATCCATGGGAGATACTCTGCATATGCTCAGAGGCACTGTTGGATTGAGATACATTGGTCACAACGGGTAAAGTCCATGGGAGATGCTCTGCACACGCTCAGAGGCTCACTTTCATAGCATGCCTTGCTCAGAATGGGTTCAACCCATGCGGGATGGTCTGCACATGATCACAGGCATCGTTTGAATGGGATGCTTTGGTCACAATGGGTGGAATCCATAGGGGATTCTCTGCACATGCTCAGAGGCACTGTTTGAATGGGATGCTCTCTTCACAATGGGTGGAATCCATGGGGGATGCTCTGTCCATGCTCAGAGGCACCGTATGAATGGGATGCATCACTCGCATTGGGTGGAGTCCATGGATAATCTGCACATGTTTAGAGACATTGTTTGAATGGGATGCTTTGGTCACAATGGGTGGAATCCATGGGAGATGCTCTGCACATGCTTAGAGGCACCGTTTGAATGGGATGCATTATTCGTACTAGATGGAGTCCATGGGGGATGCTCTGTGCATGTTTAGAGGCATCAATTTAATGGGATATGTTGGTCACAATGGGTGCAATCTATGGGGTACACTTTACACATGCTCAGAGGCATGTTTTTATGGATGCGTTGGGGACAACTGAGGGAGACGTGGTAGATTCTCTACATCAGTGGTTCTCAACCTGTGAGGCCCCATATGTTTTGGCCTTCAACTCCCAGAAATCTTAATAGCTGGTAAATTGGCTGGGATTTCTGGGAGTTGTGGGCCAAAACACCTGGGGACCCACAGGTTGAGAACCACAGACTTAGAGGCATTTTTTATTATGAGAGAATTTGGATTTCTGGACATAGGGTCTATTGAAAATTATTATTATTATTTTTATTTATTTTAGCAAGGTCCCTGGTTTGACTGGGGGCGACACTGCCCTGCATTCCTGGGATGCATTGATTACAATGGATGGAATCCATGGCAGACACTCTGCACGTCCTGAAAGGCACGGTTTTTTAATTGATGTGTTTGGGATAATTGGGGGTAGCCACAGTAGATGCTCTGCAGATGCTCAGAGGCATTGTTTATTATGGGTGGATTTGGATTTCTGGACATTGGGTTTATTGAACATTATTATTATTATGTTTATTTATTATAGCAAGGTTCCTGGTTTGACTGGAGATGCGTTGATTGCAATGGGTGGACTCCATGGGAGACGCTCTGCACATGCTCAGAGGCACACTTTCAAGGAAAGCCTTGATCACAATGGGTGCAATCTATGGAGGACACTTTACACATGATTAATCGCAATGGATGGAGTTCTAAGTAAGGGGTTTCTTGAAAAGCGAGGGTGCAACACTGCAGATTTAATGTGGTTTGACACCACTTCTATTGCCAGGACTCAGTGCTATGGAATCATGGGAATTACAGTGTGGCGAAACACCAGAACCTTCAACAAGGAGCCAGGACAGTTAAAGTGGTATCAAACTGCATTCATTTCACAGTGTGGATGCACCCTAAGTCCCCCAAGTTTTGCCTTTTCCCCCCATTTGGGGGTTAGGCTGTTTGTTGCCTTTGGCTGTGTTTGTTTATTTTATTTGCACCACCTTCCTTTAAGAGACTCACGTCTCACAAGTTTCACAATTATTTTAAATCCATTTGTTAGTTATATTTCTATCTTACATTTTCTACAATTAATGTACCTTTCTGCTCATCCTCCTTTATCCTGTGCAAACCCTGTGATGTAGTATAAGCTAAAGTAAGGGCCTAAGGCCACACATTGAGTATCATTCTTTGGTAGGGATTTGAATCTGGGTCTTTCAAACACCAGACCATCACACTAATCAGTAAATCACATTGGTTATGTGAGGTAGTTTTAGACCAAGAGAATATAAGGAAGCTAAGGTCCCTTGAGAGCCTCATGACTGAGCCTGAGGACTTGTATGTTCCTCGTCCAGTTCCATAATTGTATTAATTACCACACATTTTTGGAATATATTTCTATTTTGCTTTCTATACTTTATTGCTTTGGGGAAATGAGGAAGTGTGCTTTCTGAGCAAAGGTTTCCTCTTGACATTAAGTCTAGTCGTGTCCAACTCTGGAGGGTGGTGCTCATCTCCATTTCTAAGCTAAAGAGCTGGCATTGTCCATAGATACCTCCAAGCTCATGTGGCTGGCATGACTGCATGGAGTGCCGTTACCTTCCCCTGGAGCGGTACCTATTGATCTACTCACATTTGCATGTTTTTGAACTGTTAGGTTGGCAGAAGCTGGGGCTAACAATGGGAGCTCACCCCTGCTCCCTGGATTCAAACCGCGACATTTTGGTCAGTAAGTTCAGCAGCTCAGTGGTTTAATCTGCTACACCACTGAGAACTTTCTGAGTAGTGCATACCAAATACTGATCTACTATATACAATTTAGCAACCAGGAATGCTGGGAGAATTTGGAAACCTCAAGGGATATATTGCAGGTTCCTAAATATACCATTTCCAATTTTTACTCTTATTTATTTTCATTTATACCAAGCGTAAGCTGCAGAATTCATACATACATGAGCAGGGAATGCTACAGATCCAATGTGATTCAACAAATGATAGCAGAACATTTATTATCATTTTGAAAATGTTTGCTGATCTGATAAGGTGTGTGCACATCTGTTTTGTTTATAACAAAATGATAATCACAAGCCATTGTATTTTTACATAGGAACTTTAGATGAATGCATCTTGGAGTATTGCACTATACTTCAGTTTATTAAATCATTAATTAATACATCTGAAATATGTTGGAAAACATTGATACCTAAATGTCCTGGTGTAATTGT